GTGATCAATTATTTTTCCGCTCGCTAGTGGTAGCTTCCCTATCGCTATTTTCATGGTAGGTGTTCAGGTAAGCTATATTGCTGAGTTCTAACAATCGAGACATTAACATCTAGAAACCGCTCTGCTACGTACATTCGCTTCATATTCCACTGGTAAATTCCACTCAGCTTCTCCCACAGAACTGTTGCGTTGCGGAACAGATTCTAAAAAGGGCGCTTCTCTGATCGCTACAATCTTAACCTACTCAAGTCTACGGCCATCTGTTATCTATCCGACTTATTCATCTCTTAGTTCCTCCCTGTCACACGTGAAACAACTTCATTTAGTAACCCTCTACTCTGAGTAGCTCTTGAATCTTGCATTGGGTGAACAATAGTGAAAAATAAATTATAGATACGTTTTTCGTAATTGTCTGTTTGCTATTAAATTTTCTAATAAAATGTGTTTTAGGGGCGAGTAGATACCCCATAACTATTTTCTTACATTGTTGACAATGATCGATTTTACTATCTTCTTTGTAGATCAGGCATTATCGTTTTCATTCTTCAATCGATGTTATTTGCTAATCACTGATATTAATGTTAATTCTGTTCTTTATAGTAATTTTCTTGGCGTTCCCGATCATTATCGTCTGTTTTAACGAACGATCTCGGCATCTTTTGTTTCCAGGTATGGGTCGACGCGGCGACACAAGTCTTCTTTTCCCTTGGGCCCGGCTTTGGGGTCTTATTGGCGTTTGCAAGTTATAATGATATACACAACAACGTATATCGGTAAGAAGTGTTTTTATGATCTCACATTCAATTGTCATGATTTATTTCTCGCTGCAAAGATAATCTGAATGCCGAACTACCTGCATGATGGGTGCGTCCCGTCCCAGAATAAAACAAATATGAAAAAAATATTAAATAACGCTTCACCCACGTTAAAAGACTCACAACAACAATCTTGTCTATGTCTTTCATACGAAATCCATGTTTACTTTCACTCGATTTTCTTTTCATTTTTTTCGAACTCTCTTACTCAACTTTTCTACGTTCACGCCATATTTTTTCTTCACACAATCTTCTCTTCTCCTATATACATACATATATATATATATATATGTGTGTGTGTGTGTGTGTGTGTGTGTGTGTGTAATATAACGATATATAATCTTGTATAATTTTAAAAAAAAAGAGTATTTCGAAATATATAACAAACTGTAAGTTTTTGGGACGCGTTTCCAGTTTGCCATATTTTTCTAAATATATATATGTATACACATACACACACACACACACACGTATATATATATATATATATATATATATGCACATTTCATTGAATACGACAGAGAAAATGTTTTGATTTAGTTTTTAATACAACTTCTCATGTGATCTTATAATTTTTTCTTTTCGGATGATCAATTATATAAAACTGACCGATTGTTCTTTTTATGCGAGCGCTTTCGGCTATACATTTAGCCAGTTTCAAGGCTGAAATATATTAAATGTTAACAAGAAATAGTTTGTTGTATGTATGTATTTATATAATGTTTTCATTTTCAAGACTAAATCAAAGCACCTTGTCTGTCGTATTTCAATGCATATATATATATATATATATATATATATATATATATATATATATATATATATATATATATATATGCATTAGGTACGTGCCATCTGGATAGTCAAGGTAAGCAAAATATTTATATATTTTTGTAGATTTACTACATAAAAGTCACAAGATGCCTACTGTGAGTAATTACTGATAGCATGTGCCTTATATATATATATATATATATATATATATATATATATATATATATATATATATATATATATATAAAAAAGAAGAAGAAGAAGAAGAAGAAGAATATATGAATATATATATATATATATATATATATATATATATATATATATATATATATATATATATACGTGTGTATGCTTTAATTTTTTAGTCCGACATTAATTCTTATTACCAGAAAAGTTATTTTTAGAAGGTAAACGTATTTGAGTTTACATTTGTATTATTTTATCCGTTTATCTCAAGAGATAAAGGTTGCGATTTGTTTGCTCAAAATACAGTTGACCTCTCCAAAATGTAGACCTGAGCGATAATATATGGAAGCTATGCGCTGTCCAGACCACATGGTCCCGCACCCGGTCACGTAGACAAGATCCAAAGGAATACAGTGCATTAAATTCGTGGCTAGCTTGGCTGCAGGAGTTGCCTGAAGGTTGTTAGTATTGATAGCCTATCGTCTCCAAACCGGACTTTTTGTCTGTATTTAATTCCATATTCTTTTCCATGTTTGGATATGGTCGCATAGCAAGGCAGCAAATGTTTTAAATCAGTGATTTCCTTCCTCTAGATGGACAGCCTTGCTTCTTCTTCTTGAGGCAGATGGATATCAAGCTCCAGTGGTTTGCCTTCGCCCCTTTGGCTTGAAGCTGTGATGCATGGTATGGGAATTGTTTATAGACAGTAGAATAGTGTTTATAGCAATATATATATATATATATATATATATATATATATATATACAATAAAGATGATGTTTTGCAAAAAAAAAAACAAAAAAAACAAAAAAACAAAACAAAACAAAACAAACGGCCTACCAGAGTATTTTAGGAAGATTAGGTGATAACGTGAATGCATACCGGAAAGGAAAAATGCTCAACACCATATAAATTGGCAGAGCTATTCTAAATTACATATATATATATATATATATATATATTAATGGAAATAATCACGTCTTAAAATCTTTTCAACCTTTTATGAAGGTTAATTCGAAGACAGTATATGTACACCCTTATTCTAACCATCCTCTGTCAATTATTAAACATATACCCTCTTCCACAGAATTTAGAATCAGCTATTCTAGGAAAGAATTTTTTAATAAGCATATCTAATTTTACAACACTACGCTTAGAAATGGCGGTTATAAATGTGCTACTATTAAGAACAGAAATCCCATTATTTATGACCATAATAAGAAGAGAAGATCTAGCAAGATCATTTGGTTAAATATCTGCTTAAATACGCTGATCCAGATTCATTTTTAATGTAAATTACACTTTGTTTTTGTTATTTTTTAATAACGAGTAATCTCCCTTTATGCTTAATATGAAAAAAATAAATAATTAATATTCCCAACTCTAATATATTTTTACATATATATATACAAATCCCACTTAAATGCCAAATATATTTTTAAATTAAAAAATTATAATCTCAGTATAATATATAACTGCGATAACCAGATATTATTTTTGTAAATTTAAATTACGTAACGATTAGTCTAAACTCAGCACTTGAAGATTGCGTTGTGCATTTAAACTCGTGCTTTCGGTGAGGGATAATATTCATATGAACACTTTCCGATTATATACAGTGTGTACTGGCGGCTATAAAAAAACTGTGCTCGATTTAAAATAACAGACCTAAAATTTATTCTAACAATAAATATGAATTTGTTCTTCCCCTACTTTCCCCAATTAATTTTTTTGAAGTTTTTCACTACTGAAATGCCTTGTTGAGCACTCCCTACTCTGTTTAGAACTTCTTTTACGTACGGTGTTGAATTTTTGACCAGTTAGTATTTAGCTATTTAGTATTAAATGCTAAAAAAGTTTTTAATTTCTATTTTTCCTTTTCTTATTTTCCTTTTTCGAAGTTTTAATCAAATAAGTGGTTGATTTTAACAACACGAAACTTGTATTTTCTTTATTTTCATTGGCCTTAAAATTTGAGGCCAGCAGTGAGTAGACGGAATATTTTATTTTATTTATTTATTTTTTTACTAAAGTTCCCACAATAAAATACTCAAGAGCTACTCAAGGTAGAATGTTACTGAATGAGGCGTGTAATATGAATGCAACAAGAAGTTGAAAGAATTGAAAATTAAGAAATGTTGTGATGGCATGAACTCATAAGTCATTGTGACTGAGGGTTTGAACGTACAGAACTTTGGTCAAAACTGTAGATTACGCTAGATTAGGCGCTCCTTATCTCTCTCCTGGAAACTGTAACTAAGGTTGCAGTTGCAGTATAGACTATGGGTGATGAAGAAATATTAATATACCTGAGCAGGCGTCTGCAACAAGGATTAGCTAGCTTCAACCAGATACAGTTGGTAGCAAACGGACATATTCGGAAACAAGCAGCCAGCCATTTATTTATTCAAAGAGGAAACAATAAAAATGATGATACAACTTACAGATAGAGTAAACTAAAATAATATAAATACTAATTTGCATTGAAAGAAATTCAAAAGAAATTCAAGAATATCGCCTATTTTCTATTGTTTATTAGACATAGAATTTTGTCACTTTGATGTCCTCCATATCTTGCCTAACTTTTCGGCTAACCTGATGAATATTTAAGAGCGTTCTTAAATATAAGAATTTTAGAATAAAAAAACAATATTTTTTTTCTTTTCTGTTACCAAATAAAATCCTTGCAGTTGCCTTGATAAAGTCCCTCAGATGATGAAAAGCGTCGGCTAAGATAAGTATTATTTACCCTGGTTTCCTTTCTGAGGCGACATGTGACACAAGGTAGGGTTTAACGTTGGGAACACGAGAGCGTACAACTGGACCAAGGGCAAAAATTGTGCAGCTCCTGCAACCGTCGTTTGCTCTGGCATCGGTATGACTACCGATCCCTCGCCTCTTTAGTGTAAATGAATCGACGTGCATCCTCAGCAGTTGTTCGCCAGGACCGGACACCTCAGCTACATCTCTCTCCGCAGACAGAGCTACAAATGACTCGTACTCTGCCCGAATACAGAGAAGTAACTGACAGATGATAAACCCTACCTGGCATGTGTCGGCTAAGATAAGTTTTCCTTTTGTCTTTATTCAAAATACATCATTTTTTTTAAACAAATGCTTTTCTGTTTTAAATGTAGCATTATATCACTGTAGACACACGAGATTTAATATATTGTCTTCCATTTTATTTTCAGAGATGCGTTGCTAACAAGTATGGTCAACTGTATGACAAGTTTCTTCTCTGGGTTTGTTATCTTCATGATTCTTGGTTATATGTCCCAGCATTCCAATCTTCCAATATCGGAAGTTGCTACACAAGGTAAGACTGCATGTCAAGATCGATCTGTTCGCCATTTCAACCATTTACAGTTATTTTTATTGAGCTTAGTGGGTGTAGGCGCTCTGCCAGTTCGAGGTCAATGTTTAATCGTAGATTTCTCTCGATAAAGATACACTGCAAGACAATGAACCATTTCAGCAAAGACAGAATAATCAAGAACGTATACTGGAAGCAAACCGCCTGCAGATAAAAAAAATTAAATGGAGCAGCTACGAAAAAAAAAAGAAAAAAAGAAAGGGGTGTGAGACAAGGACGTGTTTTCTTCCCAGATTTATTTAACCTCTACAGCGACACCATTATAAGACCTTACCAGGATTTATTATCGCTGGGCGTAATCTTAACAATTTCAGATATGCAGATAACATTGAGTTGATTTCTGACTCGGAAAGAAAACTACAGGAGCCCCTAGACAGGGTCGTAGAAGAATGCAAGAAAAAAAGGACTAAATATCAGTTTCAAGAAGACAGAAGGTATGATCATCAACACGAGAAACGGCCTGAGATACGAATGAGGAATCGGCAGATATAAACATCAAGCAGGTGCAGAAGTTTAGATATCTGGGAAGCGTTTTAACAGAGAATCGAAAATTTCGCCACGGAGATCCGAACACGCATTAAACCAGATAAAGATGCCTTCCGAAAGCTAAGTAAGATATCGAGAAACGGAAAGATGTTATTAGAAACAAATAAGAAAAAAGAGTGGTTTATTGCTATATGATATCCATCCTCTCATAAGTCAGTTAATTCTGGGCAATCTCCCCACGGATGAGGTAAAAACTAGAGGCGACACAAATGTAGCTCTACAGAAGGATACCGAGAATGAGTGAGTAAGCAATGAGGAAGTCTTAAAGAAAACGGCAACGGAAAACACTTATACTCAAAATCAGGAAGAGATAGATGAAATTCTTTGTGCAAATAATGCGGAAGGGGGTTAGAAAACTTAACCCTCGCCGGGTATATTGAGGACAACAAAGACAGGGGAAGGCTGCGTGACACTTACCTAACAATCTTGTATGAATAGATGGCCGAACAAGTCGCGAAAGCCTTAGCAATACAAAAAAAAACTGCCAAGAGCTACACGAGACAGGAGATTGTGGCAAGATCTTCTTTTATGCTTATTTTCTAAGCGTAGCTTAGATGTGTCACAAGGCCGAAAGTATGGGGCACCTAGTGAGGATCGAACTCACTTTTCAGTCATAACTGATCTAATGAGACAAGCTTGCTAACCATTACACCACGCCGAGGTGTCCCTTCTTCTTTTATGTGCCGTGTCTCTTCAAAACGTAGGCGATCATGGCTCTCCACTTTCTCCTATCCCTTATAGTTCTCAATACGTTTTGCCTTTTTGCTACTTTTCCAGATCCCGTTCTGTCATCCACTTGCTTAAGCCCGCTAGGTATGTCACGCGTTGCTTTCCCATGTAATTATTTCCCTCTATTCGCCCTGTGAATATCAGATTTTCCAAGCCTTCCTTTCTCATTACGTGTCCCAGAAATTTCAACTGCTTCTTCTTGATGTTAAGTATAAGTTTCATCTTTGTTTGTATCCTCTCCAACCTGTCCATGGTATCCTTAGCATCCTTCTGTAGAACCATTCTTCTGTTGCCTCGAGTCTCTTCTTCATCTATGAGGAGACCGTCCAACATTTGCTGCCGTAAAGGAGGGCGTATGTCACGTAGCAGTTCAGTACTCTCTTCTTTGTTACCAACGAAATCCTCCTGTCTCTTAAAACTCTGATTAGCTTTTGGAATGCGTCTTTGGTCACCCAATTACGTCTTCGGATCTCAGTACCCTCACTTACCATCCTCTACATTCAAATAAAAGCACAAAATTCATTTTTGAAACCAAACAAGATTTAATTTTGCCTATGAAACATTTTCAATTAAATATTTATGTTTCAAATATTTATATTACAACACAATCATTTTAGCGCAATTTCAAGGAATGAAGTAAATTTTTTTACAAAAAATTTCAATGTTCGTTTTTTTATCATTTCACCCCAAGCAAGGCAATAAACCCACTATGCTACAAGTGGGGGGGTACACAGAATATAAGAAAAAGAAAAAAAATATTAAGCAGAGAGATCAATAAAGAAGAGGAATTAAGAAGACAGTAGATAACAATTGACACTGCATATAAACTTTTGAAGATCAAAGTTCACTGTAATGCAAACTCAGTAAGCACTTACTTCTTAGTGTCTTTATTGCCTTGATTGGAGTGAAATGGTTAAAAGAAGAAAAAAAAAAGCAAATAAACACAATAACCTTCCTTCCAAACATATATTCAGATACATATGTAACTGTGCGCATGCGTGATTCCGAATTCAGCAAACAAAGCAAATATCGCATACAATATTATCTTTATAGACGTTATGTTAAAAACATTTTCTTATTAATCTTTTTCTACAGGTCCTGGACTTGTGTTCGTTGTCTATCCAGAAGCCATAGCTACTCTACCAGGAGCGACATTTTGGGCGTTAATATTTTTCCTTATGCTTCTTACCCTCGGCCTTGATAGCTCTGTGAGTATTTCCCCCTGGAAATTTATTAGAAGAAAGAGTATATTCCTTCACTTCAAGACGTTAGCATTTTTTTTTTTTTTACAAAAGATATTGTAGACTCTCGATCCAGTTTTCTTTGTGCTGTTCCCTCTTTTTTAAACTTAATCACCGTTTTCTTGATGGTTCTTGAATAGAATTTTAAGATGAAAGTCATAGTATGAATGTTGTAACATTACTGTAGACCTCAATCATTTTTCCCTCTCACCATTGCTCTGTTGGGAAGACAGTGGGCAGTTGATTCTCAAGCCGTTATTACTGATGCCACCCGAAAATCCTAGCTTAAAGCACTCTCTATTCTCAAGCAGTTACTTTTCTAGATATTGGCCAGGCTCGACATTGATAATACTATTAATAAATATACATATGTGCCTCACCGGTAGTACTCAGTACGGAGTTTCATGCACGATGCAAAGTGATTTTACCCTGTTCTCTTTCTAGCTGAATAACTCAAAGGGATTTTCAGTGATTCTTACGAAAAATGGTATCAAAATGGCTAAATCTCTTCTCTGAAAACCTGGCAAAAAGAAACTCACTTAGCCAGGTGATTTGTTAGATATTAAACATTTTGTGGGATAGACAATTAAGCTTTAATACGATTTGGACAATTTTGCTGTTACACCCGGCATATACATATTGACGGTATGATATACAAGTTTCTCTCAGTCTCTTTCTCATTTATATATATATATATATTGTTGTAATCGAGGAAAGGTTACTGAATAGAGTAATCAAGCGAAGGTTGGAAATGAACGATATATTTATATATAGATAGACTCCAACTTTCCATGAATCTCGTACATTCATAACTGCTCTGGCGTATCGAATGTAAACAAATGACATATATTAAGAAAGGTCGAATTTGGAGTTTATAAGCAGTAAATTCGACCTTGTCTACCGATTGGTTCTTTGTAGCTCAAGCGGTAAAGGCACGTCAGCGTATATGACGGTTCCGTATAGGATGCAGGTTCGAATCCTGTCAAAGAACGAAAATTTTCTATGAAAATTTCTCGGACATTCAGGCCGGTAAATGTTATTTAATACTGTTTATCATAAACAGAGCATTTGCTTAAATACTTGTATCTATAAAATAACAACGTTAAACATAAAAAATATGTCTTTAATAAATAAATTGTCGGACCTTGTCCATTTCTTAATATATGACGTCATTTGTTTTACATTCGATACGCCAGAGCAGTTATGAATGTACGAGATTCATGGAAAGTTGGAGTTTATAAGCAGTAAATTCGACCTTGTCTACCGATTGGTTCTTTGTAGCTCAAGCGGTAAAGGCACGTCAGTGGATATGACGGTTCCGTATAGGATGCAGGTTCGAATCCTGTCAAAGAACGAAATTTTTCTATGAAAATTTCTCGGACATTCAGGCCGGTAAATGTTATTTAATACTGTTTATCATAAACAGAGCATTTGCTTAAATACTTGTATCTATAAAATAACAACGTTAAACATAAAAATATGTCTTTAATAAATATATATATATATATATATATATATGTAAGCAAATATATGGATATAGATCCGACAGTATGAAGAAAAATATACTGAAAAAACAAACATGTAGGTCCGTAAAATCTCGTGTTTTCGAACATAAACGAGATATTCGCCTCGGAAATTTAAACAATGCTTTAGTTGTACACACAACTAAATCTGATCATAATTTCGATTTTGATTCTGTGAAGATTTTAAAATATTTTCATAATAAAAATCTTCGGCGGATTTATGAAGCAGGCATAATATCTATCTCACGCACGGTGAACACTAGACCTGGCTTCTTTAATATTTTCCTTTTTCTAGCAAGAGTAATGCTTGACAAACGTACATATAAGTTTTAGATTAAAATAAAATTCTTTTCGTTTTTCATTCAAAATACTCAAATTTTAGGAATACGTTTTCACAACATCGCCCACGTGACGACGACGTGATCATATTTAAACGGAACGCTGATCTTATAAAAGATTTCAGTTATCTGTTTGGATTGGTATTGCTTTTATGTCCATCGTCTTTTTCATGTTGAATTGTTTATGGTCTATGTTAATTATGTTTTATGAATATGTCCTGAAGATGGTCTATTAGACCGAAACGTCCGACGATGACATTAAACATTAAAACAGCATAATCGCATATTAGGATTTTTGTTTGTTTTTTCAGTATATTTTTCTTCATATATATATATATATATATATATATATATATACCTAGCTGACCGCAGCTCTATTAGAATTCATTTAAAGACAAAGAAAAACTTACCAGACTCCATCCGAAACATACTAGTGGCGAATACAAACATAATGACCTCATCCACATGTAAAGGGAGATGAAAAATAATGGAAGTTTTGATGATAAAAAAAGAAAAAGCTAACACTTAATGATATTAACTACGAGCGCGGCCATAGTGTACTGGCTGTGTTCGGAGAGTAGAACATCTCTATAACACTGGGAACATGCACACAACCCACACACCCAATTAAATTGAAAAAATAATACCATCCTTGATGGTGGCTGAAAGTGTGACCGAAAACGTTCGGAGTTGTAGAACATCCGGGCAGTTTCTGCGTCCAAAAAAAAGAAAACATTTGTTTGAACACAGGAAGGGTTAAATAAAGAGCTTGATCGTAGTACCTTGTCTGTCGTCTTTGGTGAAACATGTATAAATGAGAGATTGTTGCCTACGTACACGCACACACACACACACACACACACACACATACACACACACACACACATATATATATATATATATATATATAGAAAAAGTTTCAAATTATAATGTTTTATTTTATGAAAGTATTTATTTATTTATATATATATTTGATATTTCAAATTGTCCTCAATTTTTCATCAGAAATAACTGTTTGTTACAAATAAATTAAAATTACTGTTTGTTAGCAAGTAGCGTCCTTCGCGAGACGCGGACGTCACGTGATATGGATACACACATATATGTGATATACGTGATATGATGCACATATATATATATATATATATATGTGTGTGTGTGTGTGTGTGTGTGTGTATAGTTCTCTACATTCTTTAAAACATTAAGTCTTATCTCTAATTTCTTTTAGATTGCGGATTTTGCGTCTACGGCGTAATGTCTTCATTTTATTGGAACATTAAAAATATACTTAATACTATTAGTACATAAGAAATATTTCATTTGATCATGAAACCTTGAGCCGGCTAAAAGGAAACATTTGTTATTATATTGAATTTTAAAACTTTGTATTTTATTCTGCGTTTTACATTGACCACTTTTGTTTTACTGCTTGCGTGCTTCTTGCGTTAATATATATATATATATATATATATAAGCAAGTGTAAATGGATAAAATCCGACAGAATGTAGAAATTTTGAAAAACAAACAAAAATCCATAAATGTAGTTAAAATGAAAGAATTGTCGACGTCAGACGTTTCGGTTTTAATAAACCATTTTCAGAACAAATTCATTAAAATACAAATTCAGTTCAATATGGACCAAACGTCATGGACATAAAAACACAAGTCTTATCTGTTTTTTACTCTTGGATAAGACTTGTGTTTTATGTCCATCGTTTTGAGCCGGCTTCTTCCTGTTATGAGAAGAAGATTATTGAACTGAATTTGTATTTTAATGAACGCAGAGACAGGAACGACCAGAAGCCGCCGGTTACCGATGCAGACGCTCCTTGGATTTTCACCAGAGCCCTTGTTAGCCGTGTGTGTGTCAGACCTGTCCGCCTTTGGTGGCCCTACCAGGAACGAAGTTCCGGACGGCATAACTCTGACACTACCGTTTACACCCCCTCCCCACCGACTGTGAGGTAAAGGTTGGACTTTGGGGCTTACAGTACCAGGTGTTCCCAAGCGGTCCCCATCTAAGTACTGTTAGATATATATATATATATATATATATATATATATATATATATATATATATATATATATATATATATATATAACAGTGAAATATCATCTTTTCTCTTTGTAGTTCGGAGGATCCGAAGCCATTCTAACTGCGCTGTCAGACGAGTTCCAGTGGTTGCGAAGACATCGAGAACTCTTTGTTGCCATGTTATTCACTGTCTATTTTGTTGTTGGCCTGGCCAGCTGTGCTCAGGTAAGTTCTTTCTTCACTAACCAAGAGACAAAAGATCCTCTACTTCAATACCCGCAAAAAATAATCAGATTTAAAATGAATTATTTAAATTTTTCTCATAATTAATCCCGGTATTATTCTATTTTGTTTTTACTAGCAGTAGAGCCCGGCGTTGCCCAGGGATGTAACAGTAAGAGATAGATCAAGTATCGACCATCATAAAGACTGAAAAATAAAATTGACAAAGATTATTGTTTAAGGTTGACGGACATGCATGTCTTAATTAGTTTTTGTTTTTTTTGTTTAGTTTTTTTTTTTACAAATTGGTCAAACCCAAACTCAAAGAAAAACATTGTTTTCAATCGTTATGAGTCTACCGATTGAATAGAATTTTATTATAAACAATTGCCTTGTAAATGGAATTTTTAAATCATTCTGAATGTAAAAATAAAGAAAAAAGTGTGCAAGACAATAAGAAACACTACCTACCTACCAAAAAAAAGTGAAGTTTTGTTGAAATCGGTTGAAAAATGTAGGAAATCCGCTCCCATATATAAACGAACACACACACACACACACACACACACACAAACAACCAACCTGGGTTTTATAATATATGATATGATATGAGTTGTCCCCCTTTCATTCTCGCAACAGCGATGCCTCTTAATCGTGTTTTCAAATTTATTTCGTGCAAAAGCAATTGTGTTTTTTCAATTTTTGGCGCTGTTGGAACCACCGCAAGGTAATTTTACGTAGTCCTGTGAAGTTTTGTTGAAATCGGTTGAAAAATGTAGGAAATACGATCCAATATATAAACGAACAGACACACACAACCTGGGTTTTATAATAAGTATGATTTTGTTTTTTGTTTTTTCTGTACATAAGTAACAGCTATTTCATAAACTAAATTTAATAACAAAATTAATAACCAACTGGATATGTGTTACTTGTTTTTATCAATTCTTATCTTGCTGATGCTGCTGTTTTCTGTTACAGGGAGGTGCCTACGTCGTACACTTAATGGACAGATATGCTGCAGGCTATTCCATTTTATTTGCAGTGTTTTTTGAAAGTATTACCATATCATATTGCTACGGTAAGTTGCGTCCACTTTTTTGCTCTTGAAATATCACTAGTAAGTTTTTTCGTTAATAACTACTTCACCACCAGGGATTCATTCAGATAATTTATTTCGAAAATACAAGAAGTGTATTGGGTTTGCTTATCTGAAATTTTTGTTGAGGGATAAGGGATAAATGTTACTATTATAGCCGGCAAAAGGAAAAAGAGCCAGAATTTTTGTTGACGCTCGTGTTGACGGCCTTTTTCCGTGTTGATTGCCTTTCCGTGTTGACTGCCTTTCCAATAGTGAGAATGGCATATGCTTGTGTGTGTAGAGAAGAAAAGTAGGGTCGAATTTAGAAAGAGTGAATTAATGACAATTTTAATTTTTGAAATTATTTTATTATAACTATTTTTGACACCACAACTAAATTTTATTAATTCCTGTTTCCTAAACACAACACAGTGGCAATATAATTGATTTTTTATTTATGTCTTTCTTTAAAGACACGATAATTTTAATTAAATTTTTAAAGAGTTAATCGTGGCTTCGTTTTATCTGGTAAATTCTTTCTAAATTGATCCCCCCCACCACTGCAGAAGCCGAAACAAAATATACTCAAACTACATTGTAAAAATAAAATTAAAAAAATGTCAAAATTCGTAATTTGAAGTTCTTATTGCATAAGTTACTATTGATTAAGAACACCAGATTACGAATTTAAAAAATTTACATTGTTCGAACTGTTGTCCTCACCTTTGTTGCCATATTCACGACGTTTCGACCTAATTGCAAGATTGGAGTAAACCTGGGTTGATTGTTCTATTTCCACGTGCTATGCCTCTTCCGGATGTCTCAGTATTAGTTATCACCCTTTAACTTAACTCTCCAAGTTTTTGTTCACATCAGCCGTAGCCAGGTATTGAACTCACAACTCCTTGTATCAAGTCACTGGATTCAACCAAAGCTTTAGGGAGATAACTGACACTGAGACATCAAGAAGAAGCAAGACACGTGGAACTAAAATAACCAACCCCGGTGGACGAAATAAAGGATTCAGTTCGAAATTCCAATCACCTGAAGAAAGCCGGGGCGTACAACGACCGAAACGCCGTGAATATGACAAGAAAGATGAGAACAACATTCCGAACAATGTAAATAGTGTAAATAATTAAAATGAATGTACAGGGCAAAATTAACTTTTATAAAATTTTAATATAAAACAATATGATATTCGTGATCCGATGTGCTTAATAGTAATTTTCATAGTAATATGAAAAGCAAATATTAATAATTGAAAAAAAAAAAAAAAAAAGATTATTTCTGATCGTGGAATGAATTATACAATTCCATCCGAGACGGTTTTTAAGTGATGGAGTAGCCAGCCCCACGCCCGACGTTTTATAAACATTTTTAAAATAGAAATCAAGAAAAAAATGTATAAGAATATATTTAAAAATGTAAAAAAGAAAAATGTATAAAAAATGTATAAAAATGTATAAAAATGTATAAAAAATGTATAAAAATGTATTTAAAAATGTATAAAAGAAAAATGTATAAAAATGTATAAAGAATGTATAAAAAATGTATACAAATGTATAAAAATTTATAAACGAAAAATGTATAAAAATGTTTAAAATACGTATAAAAAAATGTATAAAAATGTATAAAAATGTATAAAGTGTGTATAAAAATGTATAAAAATGTATACAAATGTATTAAAAAATGTATAAAAGAAAATGTATAAAAATGTATAAAGTATGTATAAAAATGTATAAAAAAATGTATAAAAATATATAAAAAATGTATAAAAAATGTACTAAAAACGTATAAAATATGTATAAAAATGTATTTAAAAATGTATAAAAGAAAATGTATAAAAATGTATAAAAAATGTATAAAAGAAATCAATAACCAAAGTAAGATCATCAAAAAAAGATCATTATTTAAATGGCACAAATATTCTAGTTAACGACGTTTGTTTTCTAACATATTGACTTTACTCCAATCTTGCATCTCGGAGGCGCAAAATTCAACGATTTATGTCACTGAAAGTGACATAAGAGGGTTGTCATCTTAGTCAATATCACTTCTTCGAGAGGAGATGAGGCTAATTACCTGGCGCCTGTGACGTCGCCAAAACAGCAAGTGCCGAAGAACTTGACTATTTTCGGATTCTGGGTTGATCCAACTTATTAATAATAATAAAAAAGAGCTAGTTCCGCATTTTGGACGAGGTAGACGTCCGGCCAAACTAATGCTTCTCAGGCTGTTGCACCTGAAGCAAAAAAAAAAAAAAATTTTAAACGTGGGACCCGTCCTTCAAGCAATACCTAACCTTCCAGATGGGTTTACGGGGATTTGGAGATACCACACATGCCCTGACATGTGAGGTATCCTCAAATTCCTCAAAAGAAGGGCAAGGTTACTAGACTAGGCGGCGTTATGGTCATTACCGGACATCTGAGATATGTCCAAAGACGGGATTACGATCATTACCTGGCACCTGAAGTGTCCTCAAATTACTCAAAAGAATTTACGCCAAGAAAACTAGTCTAGACGGATTTACGGTAATTACCTAGCACCTCAAGTGACCCCAAGTTCATTCAAGGAAGTGCCAAGGTAACGAGATTACTTGCTGTCAGCAGTGGACGCCGATTTTAAACTTAGCTTTCTACCGCATTCTTTTCAAATGAGCGTTCAGAAAATCCTTTTCTGAAAACAAGGCTGTTGTGATCATTTTTCTTTTGCTCAACACATTATATTTTTATTTATATATTTTTCGCAGGTGTTGATAAATTTTCTGATGATATTGAATCCATGTTGGGCTTCCGACCTGGTATTTACTGGAGATTATGCTGGAAATTTGTAGCACCCATCTTTTTAATGGTAAGTCTTTTAACGTTGCTTCTTATAGTTTATATTTTCTTTCCTCTTCTTCATAGGATAAAATGCATTACGGTCTAATCTTCTGCCAGACTATGAAGATTTTTACAGTATGACGGTGCTCCCTGCCACACATCACGCACAGGAAAAAGGTTTCTTGCGGATGAAGATGTCCTGATCTCAATATAATCGAATCATTGTGGTGGGAATTGAAGAAACAAGTGCTCCAACGAAAACCACGCAATCTCCAAGAGTTTTAGAATTACTGCCGAGAACAATTGGAAAGAAATTCCCAATGAGAAAATCTGGACCTTGTTCCATTCAATGCCACATCAAAGTTGGGTAATTATTCAAAGCAAAATCAGCAATATAGATTATTAACTCCATATTTTGAAAATTTCTACTTTCAATAATAATAAAGATCACTGCAAAAATAAAATTCCTTTTTGACTCAAGAAAAGTGTTGAATGGGGAGATTTTCGCTAGTGGTCCAATGTTTTTGCATGGCGTTTTTTTTTTTCTGCATCTTCTTCTATGTGCCGTGTCCCTTCAAGACGTAGGCGATTTTGGCCCTCCACATCTACCTGTACCTTGTAGCTCTTAATAAGTTTTGCCTTTTTTGTTATTTCTTTCGAACTCTGTCCTCCCATACATTTACTCAAGCTCATCAAGTATGTCGCGCGATGCTTTCCTCGGTCCTTCTTTCCCTCTATCAGTCCCGTGAGTATCAGATTTTCCAAGCCCTCCTTCCTCGTTACATGCCCCAGAAACCTCAACTGTTTCTTCCTGATGTTAAGTATAAGTTTCCTTTCGGTTTCCATTCACTCCAAAACATCGGTTTTTGCTCGCATCTTCGGTCCATGGTATCCTCAGCATCTTTCTGTAGAACCACATTTTTGTTGCTTCAACTCTCTTTGTCATCTTTGAGGATTGTCCAGCATTCGCGCAGTAATAGGAGACAAAACCAGCGCAGGTTCATCAAAGACACCGGAACAAGGAACGCAATATTGATGGTCAGTTTATCATCTGAAAGAGCAATACAAATGCAGAAGGACGTGTACCTGTGTTTTATAGATTACGCGTTCGAAAAAGTACGTCACAAAGATGTTAGAGCTCCTCAGCAACCTTGACATATTCAAGAAAGACATTAGAATAATGAAGTATCTATAATGGCAAATTCTCTGTCACCCATCGTACAGCATTAACGAAAATGCAGTAACTTGTTTTCTGGCCCTCAAAATTCATAAAATGTACCGAGAAAAGCATACTGCTAATCACTCTTGCTGTGGTGTAAAGGTAATTAATTCACCAAAGTGGCGCAAAAGGTAATTAATTCACCAAAGTGGCGCAAAAGTTTTACGCGCCAGTGGAAATGGTTTAACACTCTGACCATCCTAATGCTTCTCAAATACAGTTATGCCTTGGGAAAAAGTAGAGATTTCTGTGACCCTCATCACTGAGTCAGGTTGTGACACAACGTCATTTTTTATCGTAGGTATCGAGTGTTTTCACTCGGGCCGCTGGGCTGGTCCAAGCTTGTCATAGCCGTTATACTACAAGCACAGGGACGGATCCTTGTGCCAGGTAAGTAGTTTGTTCCAAGATCGAGCTCGTAATTCAAAAGGCCCGCATCTCAAATCAATTTTCCCCATTGGAATTAATAGGAAAATTTCTGATCTGTTCCAGGCCACGAAAAATTCACCACTGATCTTTATAGTTACTTTCTTCGAACCATTTTGCAATATAACGGGGAAAAAAAAAACAGAGCAGAAGTGAACAC